AAATCATATTGTGCGCGCAAACGCTTGGAATACATATGTATGTACATACAATGTACTTTTGAAAACGCACGCTCGATCGGACCTCGCGAGACGAGAATACCCGAATACCGATTCTAGGATTCCAAGTATGTATTCACCGGTCGGCCGATTCCTGCACATCCAACTGACTTCCAAAGATATTTACTCGTTTCATAAGTAATGCGGGTTTGCCGAGGATTTTCCAATAAAACGATCAAACTGGAAACTGGCGAGCGAATCACTTTCTAGCTTTGTTCGTAAGTCGCGAACGAAACATTGTCAGCAGCTATGGAATTTCGACTGGGAAAGGTCGACGGAAAAATGGGAAAGAATTTTTTAGCGTTAAAGTTATGAGAATTGATGTTGCTGTTGAAACGAAACGTGTCTGTACGTGTAAAAGTATATCATCCGAATTCAAAGACTCATAAAGTTTATGTTTCGATATCAATTAAATGTTTTGGCTTCGTAAATGGTTATGGTTTCGGAAACTACCACTCCGTATTTTTACGATTCACTGGAAGAAACTAAATTTGTCTCTTGTTTATCGCTGGCTCGTCGAAATGAAACTTTTATGGAGGTCGTCGCGTTCAGCGTGATCCTTTTTGGCCGAATAACGCATGTCGTTTACGAGGATCTAATCATTGATAGACGAAAGGGTATATTGTATAACGTGGTTCTCTCGCGCATTCTTCGTCCTTTTGTACCTTTGAAAATTTCGTTATGAGACGCGACGCACATCAAAAACAGCTATAGGCGTGCATTTTTTCCCCCCCTCGCGTAAGTTTAAAGCGACCATGGATCAGCGTCTCCATAAATTCTGCAATAAAGCGGCATTGTTACGCGCGTAACGCTTCCGGAAAACATTCTTTTCGATACTTAAAAAAAAAAAAATTCCAATGCCTATCGCGAAACGAACCAAAGTACGCATACGTACTGCACGTTTTTAATCGAATTTAAACATTACGTTGAAATTAAGAATTAAATAGAGTCAAGTGGATATGGACCTTGGTACCGCTGGCACGGTATAGCGAGGGCTATTTCTCCTTTCGACGTGGAACAAGACCCGGAAAGAGTCCGAACGAATTAAAATAACGGAACGTTCACCTATCTCTTACAAATTACCACGGAAAATGGGATAGCCTAATTAGATTCAGCCTTCCTCTGTCGCGTCTCTCCTCACTATCGCGTCTCTACCCTTCTACGTTCCGCGGGCGTAGAAAAAAAAACCTGTTAAAATGCTGCAAAGGACCACCGCAAATGAATGACGAAGCACCGAGATGCACGACCAAAGGAAAGAATGCGAACTACATTACACGTATTATGACGACGTCAAATCATATGATGCGTACAGAATGTAAAACAAAGTCGAGAATGTTGAACAAAATTTGTTTCTACCAACTCTCTCGCTCCTCTCCCCCTACATTCCACCTATTCCGCGTACGCGCATCGCTTTCAAAATGGTTTAATCACGATCTACGTTTAATCAAAGATTCGTCAGTGTTGGGAATAATCGATATTAGTTTTATCAGCATATTTTACTAATCTTATACCAAAATATTCGTGGAGGACTGTTCCTTTTAGCATAAACTACGTTATATTTTGAATTACCGCTAAACGAGACACGTGCAATTTTATTTTATTTAACGACTATCCGAGGCGATCGATGTGAACAGAAGAGCATGAAAAATGCGCTCGGGACTCAACGCGTTAGGGGACATTATCCTAGACGTATCGATTTATCCACTTACAACAAATATCCGTAAAAAATTTCATTTTACGTCGACGGTTATTTTGGAAAGTTGAAACGTTTCGTTTGAATTATTTAGAACAATTTCGGAAACGACGAGCTCGAAGATTACCAACGTGCTCGATGATAATGGGTTACCGGTTTCGGTTCGTCCTAGCTCGTTAACATTTTCAAAGTGACCCGGTACTTTGGGAAGAGGCCGACACGATGGTATCGTCGAGGATGAGACACACGAGCCATTTTTAGTACAGTTTGAAACAGACATTCCAGTCGACGACGTGCTCCGTTAATCTACAGTTAATAGCGTGTAATTATATATGCATATGACACGCCGGTTTCGAGCTCGACTGTTTTAAACTACGATTTGAGTTTCGTCAGTTTAAACGAAGGAAGCCAACCCAGGCTATAGTAAACAGTAATTGCTCGAAACGTTTGCCCGTTTCGATGACGTTGCACCCTCACACCGCCGCGCCGCGCCGCTGCGGTTAATTATTTTACGTCTATAAGAGCAAACTTAGGCCCGATGAGAAAAATGTATTCCTCGGGCATCTCGCCAAAAGTCTGTTAAAACGTAATGCATTTTAATTCAGTGACCCAAATCGATACCGTCGCAAATTCGAAGATCAGTTGACCGAGTTGCCTGGCACTTGCCTCAATACAGAGGACCACGGAACACTAGAACTTTCGGGGATTTCAACGCGCGGGGAAATCTTCCTAAGATTTTTTATATACATTTAGGTAAATACGCGACGAAAATTCGATTTATATAAATCATAATTCGCTGTCACGTGCCCGTGGTTGTTAATAACTCAAGTATAATCTACCAAAAAAATGCTATTTACGAAGGCATTATAAAAATAATTTATAAAAGAGTTTGAAACTTTGGTTGCTGCGAATATTTTTATTAAATATATAAATTTTGTTGCTCAAATTATGTTCCGTCGACTTTTCTACATTTTTGCCAACGAATAAAAAGTTTACTCGTTCCTCGACCACAGGACTAGCTTTTGTTTTTGAACTCGATAAATCGTTTGAATATATTTTCTATACTTTGTTGTTTAACCGGACGCATTTCTTCGATAAAGTTGTACAAATTTTCCAGCATTACGGTTCAAGTATACACATATACATATACATACATACCCCCGAAATCCTACGTACGTTAATAACTTTTTAACGAAGCCTCCGTCAACAAATTGGTATTCTTGATTTTCGTTCTATTTTTACCTCCAGAATCTCCCATTACAATTTTTCCCATGGGTGGCCGAACATCCTGTAGAGTATGGTTAAAAAATCTACATCGACTCTATAAAACTAGAATATCATTGTTTGAAACGAAAGCACACAACGTTCATCTCCTACAGAAAGTCAATAACTTCCGAAACTCTAGGTGCAGATTCGTTTGCGCGAATTGATAAAACGCTTTTAGCGATAAACACCTCGATAGACTGTTTGTTTGCTTACTGATAAAACTCGTGTATCTGCGGTCTGCGAATGGTACTCATATGCTTACAGATGAATTCAGACCAAAAGTTGGCCAACGGTGCATTCTTTCAGCAATCGCTCTACCCCATCTGCGTACGATCTGACCATTTGTCTTCTTCTCTGACGACGTGCGCATTCGGAACGTCGTGTTCTCGTGTAACGAACGTTCATCGAAAAATAAATGTACACCGGGAATGACGGAGAACGCGTCAACTCTTACAGAATTAGTACAACTTTGTCGAAGACTCGTTCCGGAGGACAATGTTTGAAAGTTTCGGCCGACGCTTTAGCGAACGAAACGAGACTACGACTGAGAACACCGGAATTGTAATTCTTAACGTTCCAACTATATCTCTTAGATATTGCAGACGTGTCGGTGTAACTTTCACTTTCGATTTTATTCTTCGAGATATTATAAATTAAGGATTCGAATATTTAAACGTACTGATAATGATGTACGAACAAAACAGTCATTACGAATAAAACTTGTAGCGCTTCCTTCGTGATGCTGGTTGTATCCGTTTCTATGATTCAGACCCAGCATGAAACTATTGGGTATGTCCCTTTGATCATTCCAATTGTAGTCATAGTTACTACATACCATCGGTAAATTCCATGGAATTTCACTGTAATAGAAACCGGGCATTTACTCGAAACCGATAATGAACGGACGGACTGTCGGACGGACGCACGCACGCACGCACGCACGCACGCACGCACGTACGTACGTACGCACTCGTCGTATACGAAAGAGCTGCGTCGAGCAACAAGTTAAAATAAAGAAAACGATATGTTTGTTCGGTGTCCGTGTTTGGCAAATGGCAAGCACGTACGGTCTTGGTACAATTTCGAACAAAATGTGACGAGCATGTAAAAGGACACTCGTGGATATGTATAACACATCGATTCGCATTACCTCGGCCACTCTGGAACACATACACTTAGGAACACATATTTTCTGGCAAAACACCAAATTCACCGGCCTCGAATTACTTTTTTCTACCGGCTGGCCATTTCTTAGCACGAGTACGACGCGGAGGTCAACGAATTGTCAACTCTCGAGAAACTGTACGGGAAATTTTAAAAAGGAAGATAAAAGTCGAGGGCACGAGATTGGATACGTTAAAGAAGAAGACGTAATGGTGTGCAAACAAGCGCGGATGTAAATAATCGTGCGCAATTAAAGGTGCCACTTGAGCTGCATTCTCGGCTGAGAAAACCGAGTCAGAAGTGTCCACGGACCATTTCACTTGCATAAGATCACCGTTTTATCGACCGCGTAGACCAAAAGATCCGCGCTCGGATAAAACCCAAGTACATACATACACGTACACACCGACTTCTTCTCCAAAGAGAAAATAACGGTGTCGCATTATAAAGCTGTAAGCTCTATTATTCCCGTGTAAAACGCACCGCTGCTATTCTAACGTCATTCGCGTTGTCTTTTTGTCCCTGACTAAATTGACAGTACGAGGTTTTCTTTACGATTCACCGCGAAACATAACGAAGCGCGTGAAGAACGTATCACAGCACCGTGAAATGCCGAAACGGCATTTAGAATAAGTCGATTCTCACTCGTTTCGTCCATTCAACTACTGTTCGACCGTTGAACTGTCTTCCAAATAATTTCTTCGACTGGTTAGAAATACGTAGATATAGTCGCGGCAAAGGCCGCGCGCCAACAACTATTCTCAATAAGTTCGGAGAGAAACTGTGCCAACGAAGGCTGAACAGAGAGAAAAGTACTTACCATCAGTAACTTGACTTTGTTAACCAAAGGGGATGTCGTAAGGAACTTGTTGACGGCCGTCAATATTTTCCCTTCCAACGTGGCAGCGTTTCCGGCGTCTCGTCCTTGCGAACATCCGGGCCCGATGTCCGCTTCTCCGGGGCTGGGCAACAACCCCCGGCAGTCTCGCGGGAAATCCCTCTTCTTCAGTCTCCCCGCGGACCCTCGTGGCTCCTCTTCCCTTCCTGCTCTCGCTTCCTCAACGATCACGCTTCGCGCGCGTTTCTCCGATCCGCAACAAACCCGATTACCTAATTTTATTCCGGCGACCCCTCAAGGCATCCGTTCTCGCGGGACAGCTGATCGCACGTATCCTCCGGGAACACAAACTCGAGGGTGTCGCGAGGCTCTCGGATGCGAGAGGAATGTTTAACGAGAAACGATCAAGATTGTTTGTCCGCTTCCGATAAGAACAATTGTCCGCTCTCTCGAGCGGTAAACGAGGATCAGAGTTCAGGTGCTGTCGATGGACACCACCGAGTCTTCGACGAGATTACGTGTCTCTGGTCTTTAAAATAAATTATTTTTAAAGTCGAGCGCGGCCATTTTTCGGTATTTGCAACGATAAGGTTCGATTCGATACCGCCAAGTCCAAGGATCAGTCGATGTCCTTGAAGGTCCTTAGGGTCCCGACGGTGCCGCGTTCTCGACATGGACTGAAGTCCGGAGCGGGCCGACGGATGCTGCGAGTTGCTCCAGAGGCAGAAGAACGCGCGCGCGAGAGAAAGCCGCGCGTGTCCAAGGGGGAAAGAGACACACCGAAAGGAGGGGAACGTTGAACGAGCGAGGGTGAGAGAAACGATCACGAGGTAGGGGTTGATACATACATGGAGATCGTCAGAGTAGGGGAGTGGGAGAGTGTCTATTCAGGGAGGGAGTGAATGGAAGGGAAAGGAGGGTTCACCGAGGGTAGAGTTTCAACGAACGCCACTAGTTGCTGGCAACCCTTGAATGTTTACGTGCCTGACGTTCAACCTTGGTGCCGATTATTCTTACCGATACGCGAATCCATTATTTGCCAACGGGATTTTTATTCGAAACAAAAATATTTACTTTTATTAGAAATCAAGGAACTAATCTATTCTCCGATTCTACATTCGGCAGAATAGTTCCCGTGTTTTGAAAAATATTTCGTGGTATCCTCTGTTTCACCTTTTGTTTTGTTCACTTTGACGATCAAAAATTTTACGAAAAACCGAGACAATAGAGTGCAGACACGATGCGATCCTCATTGTTTCAACGTTCGGTCATAAATACCCGATGACAAAGGAAATGTCACTTGTGCCGGAATTTCTTGCGGATTTGTCATATTTTTTCTCACAAAACTGGATCGATCGAGTATTACGGTAAACGATGTTACAATATTCGCGTTGTTACCGCGGAAAGTTAATAACGAACATTTAAATTTAAACGCGAGGGCGCAGAATAGGCTTCTGCGCTTTGTTTTCACAAAACTAGGACCAAAGACATCGTGAATTAATTAATAATTATCTATAGTTGGTATTTTTTATTCGTTGTACACAAATTAAATATGCCGCGAGAGAACCAGTTTACGCTCGACTACAAGAGGATGCTACGCGTACAGAGGACACGAGTGAGATAATTAGAGCTAGTAAAGTAAAGATAATTAAAACAAGTAGAGCTACAAACGAAATGAACTCTTTCGCAAAAACGTGTAGAAGAGCCTCCACGATGGAAGTTACCTAATTATTCCTATGTTCGGTTACCACGTGCCCATGTGAAAGCACTCTTATCCTCGATGTGATAAGTTCCTCCGGACATAATCTATCTTACATGCGGTGTATAGAAAGAAAAAGTTTTCGTTACATTTTCGTTACATTACAGGTAACAAAAAGAAATATGCTAGTGGGGATGAGATATTTATATATTTAAGTACAAGGTTCGCCTTTGCTTAAAAAATTATTGCTGACAAAACGACCAGGAAATTTGCGTTGAATTTTATTAAAGAAACATTAATTGATTTACATGATATTAGAAACGATTAAATGATACACCGAGTGTTGGAATCGTTTCATTTGAAAGTGATAAACGCGATTACACTACCAAATGAGTAAATACAAATACTCGATGACAAATATGTACGTACTAATATCGGTACGATATTTAAATAGCAAGTAAACTAAATTCGTCCAACCAGGAAAGTTATAGTTTTATGTATCGTGACGAAATGTATTTATTTCGGTTCCTAAATTAAGTACTTTGTTATTTGTACGGAAAACATAGAAGCTTCGAAAGCACGACACAGGTGCTGCCACCTGTTCACACTTCCCTAAAGACAAACAAACCATATATCGACTAAAAGTAACATTATTTCTTATGTATTCATTCGTTGGAATCTCGTTTCACATTTGCTCTGCGTCGAAAAAATATCGATGAAACATCAGTGATATTTATTTGAAATTACGAAAATACATACTTACATACACTGTCGCCCGGCGCGCGAAACACTGTATCGCGTTTCCTAACGATACAGCAACATCGACGGGGGGATAGATCCTATCTATTTCTATTTCTGCTTTTGTCGAAACAAGTTTCTTCGCATAATATCACAGATATAGGTACTCGAAGTGTTATCCATAAATCGTGCTCTTTCGCAGAAAATTACATCTTGAACGTAGGTAAACGTTATCGCAGCACCATATCGACGAAACGAACGATCCACGATATTATCGGATAATTATTAAAACGAACGCAATTAAGACGCAGCTCGTGTCAACGATTCGCGTTGCTACATGCGTGCGTCGTTAAATAAGGTAAAAATTGAAAATTGAAACGATCATTGTGCCATTTTTGATGATAGTTTAAAGACGTGACTCGTAACGTAACGTCGTTCGTGATATGAACGAAAATACATATTGCGCGGACAATGATACTCACGGTGTCCAAGTCTCTGAGCGCTGGACTTGACAAATTAGGATCGATCGTGCGTAAAACGCGCGAAATAATCACTGCTTATTGTCCGGAGGACGAAGCGCCAGGGCCAAAACTTGTTGCATCTGTATCCTCACGTCTAGCTTCTTCTCTTCCGGTACTTGTCGAATAATCGGCAATAAGGATAGCAGAAACATTTTGTCGTAATCGTCCTCGTCGTAAGCAACGCGTTGGCTGCTGTGCGAGGACAGCATATCGTGAATTTCATTATCGAAGGACGTGAACGACGTCTCGCAAAGCTGCTTCGGATAACGGGGACACATTTTATAGGATGCGCCTGGTTGAAGATAGTCCCTACCCGTCGTTATGGAAGGAGCAGCGTGTCCCAATGGTACATCGTATTCCTCGATCACCGGATTATCAACTTCGCCCTCGCTTTCCTCGGATTTGCAATTATTTAACGTCACTCCGGCGACGTTTCTGTAACGTATAGTTGCACCAATATAGTAGAGAGGACTATCCGTGCATTTGTCGTTTAAGAGAACGATCTACCATCGAACAACACGGTATCTGACTATACCAACCGTTTATTCTCCACCGTTGGCATGAGGAACAGCAGCTGATCAAAATGCATGTATTTCTTTCGCTTCCGACCAGCTGGTCCTAATTTCTGTGACTTTTGAAGCTTGAGCTCCTTCATGAAATAATCACGAATATTTCTCCACTTTCCTCGTAAATTTTTCTCTAAAAACCGTAAGCACAACACCGTCATACACCATATACATTGGGATTCAAACTAATCGAAACGAATAAAAGATTAAGTTGAAAAAAAAATATATGGAATACAGTTTGAATCCTGTTTTTTTATTTGTTCGATCGGAACGATCGAACGATCGTCGGTTTGATAATTGCTCGAGAAAAATGTTGTAATTGATTTAAAAGGACGGCAAGTAGGTACGGTCACCGCGACTAGTGCCAGGGTCGAGCAAGTGCAAGTGGAGGAATCCGGATCGATCGATCGCAAGAGGCTGTATACCTTCTACGTTTCTCTCCTCGTCCGTCAAGCGCGCCCAATTCGGTACCATCACCTGGCAGACCTCGTCCCACGCGGTCATCTTGGCGTTACGGTCGTTGTACTCGCTACGATTCACATCGTAAATCGCCGGTCGTTTCTCTATTTCCACGATAAATTTTTCCGTATCGAACATGCTGAATATTAACAAGACCGCCACTACCACCCCCCTTGGCAATTATCTCCTCCGTCTCTCCCTAACGTTGTTCCTCTTGAACTATTGTTTTTTTTTTTTGTTTTTTTTTTAAATTATACGAGATATTTGCGGTTAAATACGCGACGAAGGACAGAGAGAATTGGAGGTTTTGGTCGACGATACCGTGCAGAAGGGGATGGCGTGGTTTTAGCTCAAGAAACGTCGACTGTTTTTCAACGGCTCGAACAAGATACGGAATTATCAATTGGAATTAATTCGACCGTCCAGACGGTAAAAGTGGACCGATATTCGCGGTCAACGTGTTGCGAAATCGATTAATCGAGATCAACGGTGAAAATGGAGAACCGGTCGAGAAGAATGGCAAATAAATTTTGGACGGAAACGCGTCTCCCGCAGGCGATTCTGTTATGTATATATATGTTAGTTACGCCGTCGCCGGCAGCTTGCGCGTCACTGCGGAGAAACCGTTGCACGGCCAGCTTGGTTTGGCATCATGGCGCTAGGCTGGCGTGCGGTTGCGGTTGCGGAGCGGAATCTATGCCGCTGCTATGCCGCAGCGTTGCCAAATCTACCGGCGAGAACTGAAAGGCGACGGATCCCGCAATCGCTTCTCCTCCTTTCCTGCGAACCATCGTTCGTATACGTACACGTATACGTATATGTATGTAACCGTGTTTCCAATGCGGCGATACTGACGCGCCTCGACCGCGCCGGATTTATAATAACGTTTACGAGAAACCGGTGATCGTCTGGAACCGGTTGTAGGAGTTAACGCGCCTCGCTCTCGCTATAAATAAATCGATCGATTAAATAATGAAAATTATTACGCAAATAGCTGATCTCGCGCCTCCATGAATATTTCGGAATACATACATCGGAATATTTCGATTCGAGATGCGACAAATTGGACGGGAACATTTTTAAACAAGCTGGAACGATCGAGACTCTGCGTTTACACGAGTTCCGTTCTCGCGCGGTGGATGCGGATTTCGCGTTGTTTCAACGTTGCCAAATGTACGCGATGTACACGAACGTCGAAAGTGGCGCGTTGCTACGTGATTGTGGACCCCGTGCTCAGCGGGAACGGGCGCGGATACGCCGCGCCGCGGCCACGTCGTCGCGTTTCCACCGCGGTGTTATCGACCATGCTGGAACTGGGATTTCGCAAATGCGGTGAAATCGACGCCGGCTACTCGACCAATTCAAACTTATTCCACTTATTTTGTTCATGATCTTTGTACAATCAGTATCGTTGAGAAAACAGTACAGCACGACAAACTGTTTCGATGATTCATGCTCCGTTATCGATCGAAAATCGTACGACAATCGATACACGAACAGAAGCGGATCCAAAAGGAATTTGGATCCATTGTTTATACATATTGTATACAAGCGTATGCTAAACAATTTTTATAGAATTCAATTTCATGTCTCTGGGGAGGACGATCGCCCATATTGTCCCTTTCCTCTATTCCTCCCTGAGTTTTCGTACGTGATAAGGCATATTGCCTATCTTAATTACGATTCAAAGTGTTGGAACATTATCAGAAATAATTACATTCATAGTTTAAGTGTCAAGTATTGTGATTGGCTACGCGTCGCGCGCAGACGTTCACTCTCCAATAACCAACAAGCATCGATATACTCCGAGATAAGTACTTACTTGCGCACAATTCGAGATTCCGCACAGTTTGATCGTTGAATAATTGAATAAAATTAATGGTATTTATATAATTACGCATCGATGACAAGTAAAAATGCAAAGATTCCAAAAGATGGTTATTCAGCGTTCGAAATGTTTAATAGAAGAGATCTTTGTTCATAAATGTTGGGAGAGATAATAAATATTTATTGTAATAATGTACAGCTACTTTCTTACATAATAGGTGTCAAGAGTGCAAATTTCGGAGCCCATAAACTACCCGAGAGTTTATTAAAAAGTCACGAACGTCTTGCCATCGAGCGAGATATACATATGTATAGTTATTTCCCGAATAAATAAAAACGCGATGGAAAAAAAAAAGTTGAAAAGAAAGAGTGTTAGTGCTTTGAACTAGAAAAGAGAATGAGAAAGAACGGCAAAACAATTTACCAAGATGCAATAAAAAAAAAAGAACAAAGTACAAGAACGAGACGGAACAGCGACTCTGCGTTGCAGATGCAAATGTCCGGTAGAGGGGCCCGACCAAACGTGTGCAAGCTAAACTGGCAAAAAGAGAAGGACGTTTCCCAAACGGAAGATGAAAAGAGCGAGGAGTCGAATGAGTAAGAGAGATTGAAAGTAGGAAGGGCGTAAAGGGGGTGTACAGGAAGGAGAGAGATAAAGCAATGAGGCGACGGGTGGGACAGAGGAGGAGAGAGGTGTGTAGTCGGTTCAGAATGCACAGACGTAGGTACTTACCTTTAACGTTCTTCGTCCTCCCAGATCCTAGTCAGTCTAGAGCCGACGACAAGTCAGTGAACATCGGTCCGTTGTACTCGTTTCTCTATATTTCACCATAGGCGATCGTCCTTTAGACCTACATATATTCCCAGTCACGTGCTCGAATCCAGACAGTTTCGATCGATCGTCATGCCGGCCGAACAATTTCTTGGAAAGAGATACAAGCTGTTCAGCAGCGAGAATTTCGACGAATTTATGAAGGCACTCGGTACGTATGAATCGATAGAACGTTATCCGATCGCATACCAATAACAGGACATTCCCTGGTTGTAATTAACTTCACGTTCTAACGTTGATTTCGTCCGACGAAACCGTCTCGTATACGACATATTATGTTGTCGATGTACTGCAAAACTGCATTCCGTTGTAATAAAATATCTCACGATCTCAGCAGAATATTTATAAAAATTATCGTACGATATGGTTCTAATTTTAAAAGTGATGTTTAATGAGAATGCGTAGACGCCTACATACCGCCATACAATATGGTCCGTTTCTAATTTAAACTTGTAACAATAATCGGTAGATCCACGGTAGATAACAGTGTTTATTATTGATCGAGATCAGAGTGATGTATGTATACATATAATACTTTCTGATTCGATAATACAGTGCTGGGAGATGTAACGCGCGATTAATGTTTCGATAGTGCTGATTCTCTTACCGGAAAATTCAATCTTGCCACGAAAGAGAATGGTCCCGGGTCTAGAACCATGCTGTCTGTAATGATAAATAAGATAATCGGTTTTAATGTGTTGAACTATGCTCCCGTGGCCGTGCAACGACCTGACCTCACGCTTAATTCCCGCCATGTGCTACAGACAGAGTCCGATTGTACCTCAATTTAGCACTTGAATTAATTTACCGGCAAGATTAATAAATCGCAATTGTCAGTCGAATCGCGCTAATGTATGGTACTTATGGAATTGACTTAATAAAATTACATTACGATATGTACAGGGTGTTTCAAGATTATAAGTAGAAACTTTACCGTTGCTAGAACTCGTTGAAAAAATGTATACTTTATTGATCGTTTCGTACATACTTATCTTACATTATTTGTTTGTAAACTAAGAAATCTTTGCAAGGTTATGCGTACTATACATAGAACCACCGAGATCACGCAGTATCGTTTACATGCCTATGCATGAAACGGATATGCTTCGTTCCTGCATTCAAATAAGAATAACAAATCGTTTACAATCTCGTTACTTGCTCGGCATACTACGCTCTACAATGCTATCTATATTTATTTATTTCTTTTAAAATCGTTCCCAAGGAAGAAACCCTGATACTTGTAACGTTTTATACTATAAAGTAGCAAGTTTACAATTAAATCACGCTCTAACGGGCGACGTGAATTGATTTTTATTAAACGAACCGACTCTGTTTTGTATGTAGAAACTTTGTTGTGTTTGTCGCGTGAAAACGGCTGAAGGCATCGTGATGAAATTGAGAACACATTCCTAAAGTAGACCATCTTAAAATATCAGCTCTTTAACAGCAAAAGTATTTACGATACAATTTGTTGGAAATTAAACTTTGATACTTTTTTCTCGTACAGAAATGTTTGATACGGAGACACAACAGAGCTTTATTTAGATGTAACTTAAACGGTAAAAAACAAACTATAAGATTACGCGAGGGAAGTCACGGATATAAGATAGCATCAAGTTCCGTCAAATATGCATGCACTTAAGATGTAACAAAATATCATGAACTGTAGCACCGTTGTGATTTATCTTTTCGAGCGATTAATCGTTGAACGAATAAATTACAATTTATCTTGAACGAAGAAACATAAATTATTCCTTTCTGAAACGGCGACCGATTAAAATTTTTGTATACACGTATGGAGTATAGTGAAGTATAGCAGAAGAGCTCGTGCTCGAATCGACTTTTGAAAGTACATATTATTAAAACCTATCATACATAAAATAGAAAACTAAAATTGTGACAATTGTATACTCTTCGTGCAACTCGAGCAAACTAAATAACATTATGATTGTCGTTTCCAAAGATACACAGTACATACTCTCCGTAAACACGTCGCGGAATCAGAAACAGTATCGCAAGTTCAAACTTCAAAGTTTCGCGTCTGTATATATTGATATAATTGATAAGAAACTCGGCGGTGTCATTATTTGCAATATAAGATGCGAGATAATGGCCAAGCTGGTATTTAGTTTGCTTTTCGCTTTCGTTGGTTGCACATCGTGCTCGTACTTACTGTTAAAAATGCTTTCGGCCTTTTATGGGAAACGTTACAAGCTGCAATCCAGCCAAAACTTTGACGAAATGATGAAAGCCTTAGGTGAGGTATATTTTAAACAAGAATCACCTCGCATGCCAAAGTGGAAATAGCAAAAGCTTATAGTTTCTATATTCGAAGAACGTCGAAAACGTTTTAAAGTCTGTATCGATATTTTTAAATGAAATCCCGGTTTCTTCTAGGCGTAGGATTGATGGTACGTAAAATGGGTAGCAGCGTGAGTCCTGTAGTTGAATTAACGGAGAACAACGGGCTCTACACACTAAAAACGACCAGTCCATTTAAAAACTCTGAAATAAAATTCAAGCTTGGCGAAGAATTCGATGAAGAAACGCCGGACGGAAGAAAAGTAAAGAGCGTGTGTAGTTTAGAAGGAAATAAACTTCTTCAAATACAAAAGGGGGAGAAGCAGACCACGATTGAAAGGGAATTCACGCCAACGGAAATGAAAGCAGTATGTATAGCAGTACTAATAATTAACAGATTAGAAGAAATTAAGGGAGATAATTGTTGAATTTATCGCATAAAATTGGCAAGAGATGTGTTATACCGATTTATTCGACGGCAAACGTTAAATCTAATAAAAAAACACCCCGATAATCAATTACGTAATCTCGCACCATAAGGGATCATTAAAGAATTATAAGTTTAACGGTCCAATTGAGTTACGTTTCGTGCAATGGAAACAGTTCCGCAAGGTTGAACGACACGACAGATAACAGGGCGAACGTTTAATGATAATAACAATGCCTTTGTCATTGGTCAAAAGATCCGCCAATTACCACGTGCCTCTTGTATTCGTGACTCGAGCAATTTAATAAGTTCAATAATGGAGTCAATGATAATCAATTAATTGAAAGCCTTGAGAAGTAGTTGAAAACACATTGTATGTATAGGGCTTTACACAATGAAAACGATTACAAATATTCTATACGAATACACGTTTTTTACCCCGTCGAAACGAGGAAATTTATAATGTGAATCATTTTTTGTTTGTATTGCAGGTGATGAAAGTCGACGATATAATATGCACGAGAGTATATAAAATTCAAGAATAAAACTCGTTATCCGAGAAAATGATATTTTTCGGATCAACGATTCATTGACAATGTTGAAAATTATTCTTGCAGGTCTAAGAATTTAACAAAATGGAAGCAGAAAGTATGCGTACACGCGTATAAATGTTGCTGCTATGATTTCAAAATGAAAATCAGCCCGCACAATATTTCGGATGCGTATAATCCACCGTATATGTATACGTTAATTAAATAAATTTTCAAGAACTTCGATATTTTGTATATTTTGTATGCTTCTTTCGATGTAATTCAAATTGTTGCTTTCTGCACGAACAAGTTTTTAATAAATAATAAAATTGGTACAAATATATAATTACAATTACAATTACAATTAATACGAGGTTTTAACATGATGATTTAGATCACAAGAAATGTTGTAACATCGTGTCCACGTTTTTACAATCCCACCATATTTTATTATGATTTAGAATACAAACTATTCGTCTGGATCTACCATGGGCGAAATCTGAAACAATACTTTTATATATTTTTATGCATTGCTTGCATGCATACCCTAGTTATGTAAGCAAAACATAAAAATAACTTGACTCTTACATAGTATTCTATGTAACATGTATGCCCATCGTCAATTTTAATCATATATTGAAAACATAACAACCCACATGTATCTGTTCTCAAGGAAACTTTATTTGCATATAATAATGCCTTCATAGCTGGTTTAATATGTGACAATTTGTAACTAGATGTTGCTGTTGAGGAGCATTCAAAACTATCTATTAAATCACCATCATGTGGTAGCTCAATGTGACAAATTCCAGCTAAACCAGCTGCACTAATTCGAAAAAAAGGAGCAGAAGGTGACAAGAGCAACTGTAATAAAATTATAAAAATAAACAACTATAAAACGATCGATCCATAATAAATAAATAAATGTCTAATTGTGCTCTACCTCTATTAATTCACTGGTAGGATCAAGTTCAAATAAAACATCTTTTAACAATTCAGTTTGTAATACTACTTTATTTAAAACATTTTCAGGTTCAAGGTGAAAGTCTAACAATTCATCAGGTTCTTGAGTTTTTAAAGAACAATCTGTTATAATGCCATCTTCTTCTATAAGAACTGTTACAGGATGACCAGTACCCTATTGTTAGAAATTATTAGTCTTGCTAATTTTTAATATCCAACCTTGCCTATGAAATCTTTACCAAACATTTCATTTATACATACTTTATAAAAAAGCTGTAAAGCCACAGAGCTTCCTTGAGAATTTATATTGCTCCAAAACATACAAAGACATTCTACTAATATATTCAGATTTATTTGAAAAATTACATCCTCTTTCAACTCAAATTCTTGAAACACATAAGAAGGAATATAAGCACTAGCTTGCATACATTTTGTATCTTCAACCGTTACCTTTAAACCATTTTCAGTTCCAAAACAAGTAGCATTCTAAATAGAATAAAAAAAATTTCTAACAATAAGACAAATATACACATTTAATTTTTGCACAAGGTTAATATGTTTAATATTACAATACCTCTGTAAAATTAATTGCCTTTAACAATTGTACCGTGGTTTTAAGGTTTCCCAATTTTGCAACTAATTTATAACTTTCTATATCAGGGTACATATTGTTCATAAGAGACTTGATATAATAACAAGTTTTGGAACTGTTTTTCTGTTATGTATTGATACAACAATTTATGTTTGGTAACTGATGCAAGCCAAGCTGCTAAAACATGTTTGCAAGTAAATAATGATCTTTCATTTAATACTTGGCATCTGTAAGTTTAATATTTAATAACATCTAAAAATTTTGTTTAATAAATGCTAGAAGGAATTTAAAGATCTCGTACCTAAAGGAAGCACAAATGCAATAATTTATATCAGGAAAAAATGTGTATATAGATCCTGATAATCCTTTAACTTGTACTAAATATCTACCATTATTCTGTTTGCTATGAGGTTCAGTAACAACAGTTTCGGATGAAAAGATATGAGTTACACATCCTTTTTCATACAACTCTAGTGCCCTTTCAAATACACCACCAAAGATATTGTACAAATTTAACAGCACTTTGTCAGATACTAAAACCATTGATCATACTTTGTAAAAATTGTCACATAATTGCAAAAAAATTATAAAATATGTACGTACATTTTTGTTCCTTCTCTACACTTTCAAATGTTTCTTTTAACGTATTATTTATGAATTCTGAATATTTTGCATCGTACATCACAGAATCGATTATTAAATGTTGATTGAAAGTCATTGCACAGATGTAAAAACATAAAAGTCGTACATGGAAATTATATGTGTGTACGTAAAATGCAAATTATTCGAAATCATATTATGTAAAATGTAAATGTGATTTTGCAATTAATGAAAAACAGTATCTTAATACTGCGTGTTACCTCACACGACACTCTTAAACACCTTCGTAACAATACGATAAATACAAAACACCGTGATAATATATTACTGTTTCTCAATTAAATAATTAAAAAATTACAAACAGTTATACAGTTAAAAACAACAATTGAATGCGTTAGCAACTTCAGATTATAATCAACTTAATGTATACGTTAAAGAACTTTAAATCACGTTACGTACAAGGTCAAAGGTTTAGAACCAGAACTTATAAATGAGTAACCAGAGGAACCAAGGTCGACGTCCACCGGTCAACCCTATGTTGCTACAGGTCAACTATTATATTTCTAATGATTAACGTGATGTAATGATTACATTTCAGCATAAATGTTAATAGAGTTATAAGTAATGAATAGACGTATGAAAAGAAACCTGAAGTAGAATTCAAATTTCTTTTCACTGTTGCGTCCCGAGTTTGCGGTTTAGGGGAAAAAGGAGGTGGATTGGTGCCCGTGCTCGGCGAGGCGCACAAAATCAAAACTACTCGATACGTTTAAAAGTACTTTGGCAAAATTTATTTGTTATACAACTCGGTTGAGATTGAAAGTCGTTCTGTTTCTCCGCGAAAATCCTCTCGTCGTCCCAGGTGTTTGTTCCTTCTCCGGAAAATTCTCAATCCTCCCTCTGAGTTGTCCTGATCCAATCGGGGTTTGTGCCCTGCCCCATCCGTTCGTCTGCTCACGTTGAAAAGCATACAATTGCATTGTTCATTATAATACGCTGGTCCGTTTGAATTTCGCTCTTAATTAGAATTCAGTTACTTACATGACTGCACTCGACGGTGAGTAATCGGGTTTCAATTAATTCCCGTTGTGGCGCTACGTGCGTTAAACCTACATTCACGTAATGGCGTAACATCACGAACATTGACATTCCTTTTCCTTGTGATCTCTAGTGAAATATTTAGTTATCTGGTAGTCCATTTGTGTCGCGGCGAAAGAATATAATCATAATCCAATAAAACCCTAAAAGTTCCCTATTCCCTATTCCTGATTCAAAATGAATTAATGGTAGCCGGTGTAACGTATCCGAATGTGTCTAACAGACGCTACGATCTACGATTGTAGTTTTAAGGAAACGAATCAAGTTGTGCGAACTGTTTTCGTCGGTTGTAGTTAAGATTTTAATAAGACATTAAAATGAATCGACGTCGAAGATATGCTGGTGATTTTACAGATTCGATAAACAGTTTACGTAAGCAGAAGTGATACGAATGTTTTGTGTATATTGCAAATGTTGAAATACATTTATCTGTTGATCGAATAATTTGTTTTCCAGAATACAGTACTAGTTCTGAGATAGATTCCTGTACGCCTTGTTCGCTTTCCATAGACAGTTTGGATGATGAAAGAACAAGAAAGTACATGTCCAAACATTCTACACATAGTTGTAAACATTCCATTATTTTAGCTAGTAGTTCTACAAAGGATTCTTTTATGCTGGATACACCCGCTTTATCTGTTACATCTGTTCGATCTGAACCAGATTTAAATAAACGTATTAATTTATTTCAAGGTAGAAACTTGAAGGAACAATATCAATATGATAATGGTTTTGTGCGTTCGTGTAACAAAGGTGAAGATAAAGAAAATTGTAGTCCTCGATGTGGAACGAAAGATAAACAGTTACAGAACAGAGCATCTAAAAAACTAGTAAGCGAATTAACATTGACTGCACCAAAAAAAGGCATATTACAATTGCATAAAAAATTGGAAAGCGATAAAGTAAACGAAGCATCAAAGAGAGATAGTAATTATAACATACATGGCAATAAATTTGATGCAGTTCCTGTATCGGAAGAAAATATAACCTCTAAAAATTTTGAATATAGTCAAGTAACCAATGAAACGAAAAAATTTGAAACTCTACTCTGTTCATTAGATACTCGGTTAAATGAAACAAAGGAAGCATCGAACCCGCAACAAATTTTGAAACGTTTATCCTCTGAATATGTACTTTCTCCAAGAAAATTTAATGAAAAACTAGTAACTATTACCGAAGAATCTATTATTAATAATGGCGATGATATATGTAACTTATCTGCAGTAAATTTAAGCAGATTAACAGCAGAATTGAGAAAAATATGTAAATTCATAGAAGATGAACCTTCTCCTGAATGGCCTTCATCTCCATTGTCTACACCTCCTTCATACTTAAAACAAATGCTCACAAGTCCCATATGCAATAAATCTATTCCAGTTACTAAAAATGAACAATTATTAATTTCACCCGTAAATTCCCTACCACCTTCCACACCTTTGTCCGCCATAGATGTAATTAAAAAAAGATTCTTCCAAAAAATATCAAAAAATAATTGCGATGGGAACACTAATGATTTAATTAATGCATCATCAAATATATCTAGTACCGAATCTTTCGAACGTTTGGAGGTTCAATGTAAAAGATTATTTCCTGATGAAAAAGAATGTTTTCAGCCATTACAACGAAGCGTATCAGTGCCTTCGTTGTTGAGTATGACAGAAATTGAAAATATTTGCGAAGAACAAATGGCTTTATTAGATGTTTCTAATACATCTGATGCAGATAACACAATTCTAAGTACCCCTAATTTATTGGATATGCATTTACATCAAAGTTCATTAATGAACAATTCGAAAAATGAAAAAGAATCAAGTTCTAAATTACATGAAAAATCTATGAAGATTAGCGAAAACTCGGACATTAACATGGCAAATGATGATAAAATTACATGTAATTGTATATCACTTGATATAGATGATTTGAAACAGACACTTTTAGAAGATATAGCAAAGAAAAGAAAAAGATGTCTTGATACAGCAAGACTTATTAAAGAAATCAATGCTGATATTAAACTGACAGAAGAAGAAAAGTCATTAGGGATGTCCCTTATGTTGATTACCGAGAATGAATCAAATTCATTGACTTGCGACGAAGCTAAGTTTTTAAAAACCCTAACAGTTTGTAAAGATTATCAAACATATTTAGAAAAACAGAAACCTATTTTTAATTTATTGATGAACTCGGATTCTCGCGTGCCTGAAACTACATTCGAGAATAAGGCAAGCGTTTATTTCAAAAACGATGAAGAAATTAAGAGTTCAGATGCAGATTGTTTTAATATGAAATTGCCATCAAAAGCAAAGAAAAATATTTTAAGTCCAAATGTAAAATATACATATAGATCACCATTATTAAGAAATAGAAACAAAGAGACTAAAGAGGAAACACAGTTTCCAAAAGCAAAATTATTTTTTACACCGGGTAAAACTCCCCCAGGTAAACATTACATAAAAAAAAAGATATATTTTCCGGCTATGTATAGTCCGACAAAAGATACAAAAGAGGAAAATATTTCGAAAAATTCACATGCAAGAGGGCCGCGTAAAACAAGTTATAATACTGTAACTTCGCCAATTGGTATGTACATAAGAGGTACTGATATGCAACTTATAAAAAATATACATGCTAAAACAGATGATGTATCGCTTCAATTTGTAAAAAGAAATGATAAAGCATCTTCAAATAGAAATTCAAAACAAACAACTAAGTCACAAAACATAACTAATTCTAAAACTCAAGGAGATATGTCAATGAAAGTTAATTTATCTTCAAAATTAGGAACACATTTACCATATAAAAAAGAGGTATATACATATATTCCTAGATTTACCTGAAAAGCAATATTTTGTAAAAATTACTTTGTTACAAATATTATAATTTTGTTTGCATTTTAAAGACAAGCATATTGGTAGCATCTGAGGTTGACAGTACACATAAAAGTCATTTTTTACTACCTAAAGTTTCTTACAAACTTCCATTACAAGTTAAGACGGTATGTATTTTAATACTATCTGTTTCCTATTTTGGAAATAGTATATACACTACTGTACATATTCCTTTGTGTTATGTTTGATAGATAAAGGAAACAAAATCTCCCAGGATAGGAGCTCGTGTAAAGAAATTGCTCGAGTCAACAGAAAATAAAGTTGTTATCCGACACCAAGGTATTATTATTCTATACATATTAATATAAAATAAGAATCTACTTTTCACGAACATTTTCAGGTAGAATTAACTCGATCCAGAAACAGAAGAATGCAGGAATAATAGCAAATAACGAAGTATTGGAAATTAACTATGAACCAGAAGATCAATCTATACACATAGAACAGGCAGCTAACAAAACGAATTTTATTCATAAAAAGAGAAATATTTAATTAGCGCTTTAATATTTACGGTATAATTAATATTTTATATTTTTATCTGGAATAAACCTCAAATTTTAAAAAAGCATTATTTTGTTAATCAAAATTATATTTTATTTAACATCGGTTTGCATGTTACATCTGCAAAAGAATATGTAATAAAGTTTATATATTTTATTTTACATAATTCCCGTTCAAAATTCTTTCCTCAACTGTACTTTCTAGTGGATTTAAAGGAAAAGCAATAAAAATTAGGTGATTTATCAATTATATGAGTCACCAGTGGTATAAGGCCTTAGACGAACGTTTTCTACGCCGTTTCTAGAAAGAATAAAATCTACGAGCGTTCTGCGTATTGCGTTTCTACACCGAATACATATTTCCATCTGCATGTGTATTTTATTCGTCGAAGAAACGTATCGGGACGTCGTTCGTTACAAGATCGTTTCTTATCTCCCACTGTTGCGTTGTAACATGTATCATTGGGTTCGTGCTGTACTTGCACAGGGACGTAATTATATTTTCATGCTCCATAGCAATTAAAGGCAACAATATTTAAAATTAAGCACGAATAAATAGCTTAATTTTATACCATTGATGACATATGTAATTCATTTGTAGCATTTTGCCCATTGCGTACTTACAGAATATTTCATAAAAATATTCATAATTACGCAGTACATTTCAGTGCAATTTTATAATCAGTCATACAAAATATGACAAGAATTATTTATACGAGAGTATATAGATAGCAACCACTTTGAAATCTACTATTCTAACATATTTAAATAAGACTTTTTAATGTATATATCAACTTCATAAATAAACGTAATATAAACGAACAATTTGAAATAGTTAAAGTAATTTAAATCTAGATCGTACCAGAATAAGTACAGCCCTGATTTGCGCATGGCACGAACATTTCCAGTTGCACACGTCGTTCAGGTATTCGGTATAAAGGAGATCGTGGTAGAAGTAATCGATAAATTCGAAGCAGCGCCACCGACCAGTCAAGTAGTAGTCATTGTGCTCCTACGAAACTCGAACAGTCAGTTGTGAAACAATCCAGAACAAAATGCCGGGACCAGGATGCGACAAGTGTGCTGGTAAGAATTGTTATAAATTTTGGAAAATATATGATTTAACAAACTAAACGAAAATGTGATATTTTATTATTAAAAGAATTATAAACTAATACTATAAAATTTCATTCAAGTGTGAGCTGTAGTTTCGAATTAATGGTCGTCTAATTTTTTAAATCTTCTTAAAATTATTTATGTTTTTATGCGTAGTTACGTTTCGGATGTACATATTTCATCGTATTTAAATACTCAAAATAAAATATTTAAAAATCTGTAGTAGCAGGTCATGTAGTTATTGAACTAAACAGGAAGTAATGAAATAATTTATCAAGTTCAATTACTCGATGCACTCAATTTATGAGTTTGATCAATTTACCTATGATTTACGTCGAATAATACACTACATTTCCTCAGTGAAACTACTTGTGATATTATCATTGCTGTTATTTTAAATATTATAAATCCCATTACAAGAAGCATTTAGAAATTTGAATCGTCAATATGTTGCAGATAAGTGTCAGGATTGCAAATGTGGCGACTCGTGCAATTGCTGCACTTCCGAATGCGGAGGTAATTATTATCATTTAATATTATATCCCCTTCTTCTAATTGTTATGAAATAAATTGCAACGATTATGTTATTACGCGAACACATTTGTTACGGCATTGTACGTACATACTGTATCTCTTCTTGTGTGTCGTTTATTCTTCGAACAGTTCAACACGAACGAATGTGTGACCGGTAGTTACGATCTATTAGTTTGACAATGTGTTTCTTTCCGGATTAAATAATTGCAGGCAATGACCATTTTATCGTAATTATTGTTAACAACGGTTCAGTGAGGATTACAGTTTGTTGTTGTGCGAATTTTATAGGTTATGGGCTAATCGGTATAACATAATTTTTCTTTGCAGACAAGTGTGATTGTAAATCTGGCAGCGAGTGTTGTTGTTGTAAACCCTGTAAGTGCAAAATTGGAAATAAAGCAGCAAATTGACCATCAAGTTTAAAGGTGAATGTTACAATGACAAAATCTTTTTCTCTCTAATCCCTGTAACATGAAAATTATATTGAAGCGTAAGCTATAGTATTATACAAGCATTTTATGTACTAATAAAATACATACTTAAAGCGTTCGAAAATTATTTCCTTGTCTGTTAGAACCTATTACATTTATACGTCAATATTTTACAGAATCATACACTTTACAACATTTCTTTTGCAACTATCAACGTTAACAGCCACTTTGAGAAGAATCTACTACAATATTTGATTATACTTTGAAATAAACTATAAGAGTACAAGACGTCCCTTCCTATCGCATCTTTGTTTCACGTAGTAGACCAAAAGTATAGACCCCAAAAAAGGTGTAATGGATAATCCTCCGTGTTACCTCTTGCGTACAAGTAGACGTTACATTCAATGTATTTTTTTAGCCCATTTCAGGCCCATAGTTTTTCAACCGACAAAAAAAAGTATTAAACAACATTTTCGTATGGCGTCAAATAAATTTTAAAGAAAAATCGACAGAGGTTAGGTGCCTAAATTTTTCGGCGAAAAAACAATTTTAAATCGTTCTAAAAAAATAATTGTCAATTACAATCATTTTTGGTGAATACACATACCCCCAAAATCCTACGCATTTTCGAGAAAAAATTCTTTACCGAAAATGTGATGCGAAGCCAGAAATGCTTCACCGAAATTTTATGCGTACGTTTAAAAAATCAACGCATGTGTACAGCTTTCATTCCGTTAATAAACAATAAAATTTCTGTAATTTCATTTTCTGTCTCACTTCCTCTTGTGCTCATTTGTGTAACCTGTTGGTAATGTTGCGAGTGACACGAATATGGTAATGGGGCTTTGGAGCTCGAGAAAAATGGTTCGAAAAGATACATAGGATGTAAGGTCTACACGTGTATCTCGTCTATGATGTAAACTATACTCATATACTTCATCTATGGTGTAAAGTCTAGTTGTATACCTTGTCCATGACACATAAAATCCCGTCAATCGGTACTTCATATCTAGGGACGATTACTTTATCGACCTATGGCATGACCTATGTCATGATCCACCGTATCACAGAAAAATTCATGCATGCAAGTATGGTAGTAATTACTGGAACGTAGTATATGATAATTGGGTGTAAACTAATCGGCTGCGAATATTCTTAATTTCATGTAGTTTAGTTATTCCTTTATAAGTTGTACCTTTTACGTACAATGTATTTATTTATTGTAACAGTGGTGAAATTGAAGTAGTTGTATAATATTATTCCTATTTGATAACAATATAGCTTGATTATTAATGAATTTCAAAAGTTGGTGGACCTTCGGATCCGTTACGTACTGTCGATCAAGTCGCTATCGACTAGTCGTCGCCGAGTACTTACTAGATACACATGGAGGAATTGAATCTGTTGCAAGGCTTAATGTCTTTCGATTGGTGGAATGACGTTTATGACTCTTAATTGATAGAATCTGGTGTTTCCAGTGTCCATTAATTGAACTTGTAGCGTCATATAAAGAGGTTCAGTGTCGCTCTGCGTATAAGGGAATATATGAACGGCGGTTGGTTTGATTTTGGTCGCCAGCGACATGATCGACAGTGTGTAATGGGTCTTAATAGATTTAGTTGAAATTTAAATTCACTGTAGTTGTTCTCTTTTGACAAGATGGTTGCTGTAAATTTAAACGAATAATTCGTAATTTCCACGCGATGGTGTGAAATATCATTTTCTCGATTTTATCAATCAATCTTGCATGTCGATATTTTTCTCCTAAACCCGGCCGATTATTTAAGAGTGGAAAACCACTTAACAAAAAGACCGTGTAATACATTTTCCGCTTCGTTGATCGGAACTGTGCCAGAAGGATCTGACGTTCGCATTAAATATCGAGGAAAGTGCACTCGGTTCCCTGTATTTACACAGACCGTGTTGGCCCTTGCCATGTCGTAGAACAGAGAGAATGATTGAGTTTGCTGGTTTCAAACGGCGTTTACATGCCTCCGTGTTGTTCGATCAATGAGAATTAAATGGTTACGTACGTAAATAAGTTGACTTATCGGGGCTTTCCTCCTCTCCGTAAATATCTGCTTGAAACATAATAATGAAATTTAAACAATATAACGTTTCCCCGGCAATCTGTTCACGAGGTAGTAGTAAAGTAAAATTTACTAAATAAATTACTACGTTTTTTAGTATCATTGTCCTTAAAATACTTTAGATAAAATAAACTTGTTCGTCGTTTGACGAGCTGCGAACGTAACTTCGATTTGGATCGAGGAAACTGATTTAAAGGTCACCGCGAAAATAGGAACGCGTTTCCGTTCACGGTGTCGCGATCGAGTATGGACGTAACGGGGATTCGACCGTACGAAGCGGTCACGAATCAGTGGTGCTCCTTTAATTGATAACCCGATTAATTATGCATTCGGACTTTGAGCGCAACACCGGTTCGCCAGTTCAAACAAGGGTGGCAAGTCGTCCGGAATGCGACATGCGAAGTGCCGCTTGCGTGCGAAATGGCTGTACGAGCTAACGTGGCTTTTGTTAAAAGCGCATAAATTTCTAATGACCCCCCGGTATCGGCTGTAGCGATCAAGAGGCACGACGACCAAATTTAAGAGTAGTAAAAATGTTCTCAAGACAAAAGTATCGTTAAATATAAGCGTAACTTGTTCCTCGTACAATCTCTTGTATTCTTGAAGCAATGCCTGGCGATGCCAAGTACATAGATCGACTTGGATAAATACAACACTCTGTATAAAGTATCGTAGGTATTTAAGGAATTAAACATTTATTCGTATCGGTTGCAACGAAGCCGTATTAGTTCTTATAAAACGGACGAACGGTAACACGGTTTCTTTCTCATACGTATCAAGCAATATACGAAGGGAAGAGGGATTATAGCTCACGAAAGCCTATAAACACGAAGCGTAAGAAAACTGACGAGCAACTAGGGGGTAGCAACTTTTAGCCGGCGAACGAGAAAGGTTCAGGCCGTTAACGACACCCTGCGCGGCTTTAAAAACTAATATTTCCATCATTGTTAGCTTTTATAACGTGGCGAGTACCGTAGACTCGTATTGTTCATTTAAGGAACCCTTTGCCTTCGGAGAGGTATATTTAACGGATTCTATATTTGATTATTAAAAGAATGTCGGCTAAAAATGATCAACCAACAACCGCGAGGGTTGATCTCAATCGCTGAAATAAATGTATATTTTTGTTACATATTATTTCCATTATGGCCCATTATACCGTGTCGAATTCGTGTAAACATGGGTCGCGAAAATAACAATATACATATTTGTTAGCATGGTTAAATATTTGCTGCTGCTTCGCTGCTCCTTCGTGCTTTTTATATCCCACACCAGTTACAACAGTCTCTAGAGACACTATAGCGCGAGACTTGAAGCTTACAGCTCGGCAGGTGAGATCGTTAGCACGAAGAGTGTGACTTCGCATTGTGCCTTTGAGTACGTCTTAAGTGTTAGTTTATTGTTACCCGCTACCCGGTGGGCAGGCTGGCCTTACATATTTAAGGTAGTCCATTAGTGCTCAGCCGCGTTTATGTTTCGGAATGCCGAGAAACAGATACGAAGCCTTACCCGGTAGCGTACAGTTGATACGACGACTTTTCACAGAACCTTAAAGTGCGTTCGACTAAACGGCACGCATATTTCATTTTATTTCGTTTATTTTTCTTCAGAGAGGATAGAATTGTTCAAACGGATCGTACAGTCAGCGACAACTGTTTGACACGACCAATAAAATCGTTCGAAGAGACGTCGCACTTGAATTACCTCAATGATGAAACGACTACCACAGGTATTTTTGTATACTCGTTGACTGAGAGGTAAAATTCTTTCAAGAAAGTGCGACGGTTTATGTAATAGTAAATAATTTTGAGAGAAAGATCGAGACAGTTGTGGCAGAGCGTACGTAGACTATATCGTGCATCGTCGATCGTTTGTAGAATCGGAAACGGAATTTGCATTGTTAGATTCGATCGCCGAGTCGCCGGTTAATCTCGAATCAAGGTCCTCGAGAGAGAGAATGGAAAGGTAATTTTACCGACCGAGGACACGCGGTAGGCGGTGGTCTCATTAAACTTTTCGTCGTTTCATCCTTGGGAGGAATCGTGTCGAGAGGAACGGCACCCGCGGGAACACCGGCGTGGCACGATTATACCGACCGCCAAGAGAGATCTACCAGAGGGAAGGATTATACGGCGTAAAGAAGAAGGGTTAAAATAGGTCCTCCTCCCGTCGCGGAATGAGAATTCGAATGGTTTCGAGGGATAACGGGCTGAGCGAGAAGAGCGGGGCTCTTTCGTCCTTCGGCAAACGCGTCTTTGCTCTTCGTGTTTTCGCCTTTGTCGCTACAGTCCGCCGGGTCCAATCGGTCGAAATTAATGTCCCGCCGTTATTAGCAGAAGTTAGCCGAGCGCCACGGAACTTGGAAACGTGATGACGCGGGTATATTGTTACGGAGGAAACTGTTAAGAAGAAGTAAAAATAGTAAGCTACCGCGGAGAAGTTTATAAGTTTCCGGCTCGTCTGGCTCTTGTTATTCTTCGTTTGGCGGCCCGTGTTTCTTCGTTAATGTAATTGACTGCCGGCGAAAGCCCCGATCCGGTGTTAAGTAGACGACACACGAGATCGGTATGCTCGATTCCCTGCGGGTTTCGTCGATCTCGTGTCCAACCTGGCGGTCCGATTTATCGAATCGACGCGACGGTAAGGCGATACGACGGACGGATCGAATTATACGCGACAAGGACGGGCTCTAGCCAAGATGCATTGAATTCCAACCGCAGTCTTGAATGACTTATTTCTTTGCTTATCCGCTCTCTGTTTCTTTTCGTTTGCCGTGTTCTTACGCGAATCGATAAACACCTTTCACCGAGGCGAATCGTTGCTCAAAACATAACGGGTACACGGTTAATTTCGCTTCCAGGTAGATACTTGTTCGAACGTAGCACCGCTGTAATTAAAGCGTCTCTCGCGAAACGTTTCCTCCACGTTCTTCCATGGCGGCGAATAAACCGAAGAGTCGACCGTTACCGTAAATTCTTAATCCGAATCGGGCGGTAAAACTGAAAGTTAACCAAGTTCGGTAACATTAG